AACAGGGCCAAAGGTGAAGTGGATATCGATCTGGCTGCATGGATGGCGTAGTAGTTAAAGCGGTCGCCACGCCGCTTCCTGCTGCACTGATTGTTGTGGGTTCGATCCTCACATAAAGTCCCCCGGGACATAAGATATATATTTCTAATGCGGCAGTTCTCTTTTAAAGTAAAACAAAAATACGACTGAAACGTGTGAGTGCACCTCCCCTTTCTGGAGAGAGGGGACACTCAGCAACTCATTTGTGACTCTACAATTGCTGGTGTCCATGGACGGTAATAATCATTAATTATAAGTTAATACGACTGTTCGTTGCCCCTATACCATTAAAAAAATCGATAAAAACTAAACCTGTACGATGATGTTATTTTAAAAGTAAAAATAAACAGAAAATCCGTGTGGTGACGGATTAAGAAAGCACTCTGCACTCTGTCACCACCCCTATTCATCCCGTGGGTGTCGAGAGCCGACGAAGGGACCAAACTACGCGTAACAAGAGCACAGAACAGCAGCAGCAAAAGGAACAGCAACAGCAGAGAAAGAAAACTTGAAACAAACCTCTTTTCTAAAGAGAGGCCTATGCCCAGCAGTGGACTCATAAACGTTGTTGATCTGACAATGATGATGAAAATATAATGATGGTGTCATAAGAGCCGACTAAGGAAACAAACTAATCAGGACAACACCTACCTACCTTATACTATCCTATACTGACCCATCTGGCCATAGGTATAACATAGCCAAAAAGCAAGCTTTTAACACTTATTGCAAGTTTTGTCACTTTGCGATCCCACTTTCCTCCCTCCCCTCCATGAAGCTATATAATTTATCTGCCTTGGTGATGCAGTGGTAACGTATGCGACTGTTGTGCGATTCGAGTTCGATTCCCGGGTCAGACCAAATGTTTGTATGATCTGCAAATATTTGCTTCGGAGTTTGGGTGTTTTCTATGTCTAATATGTATGTATGTACAAAAAAGTATATAAGTATTGTATATCAGTCATTCTAGCTTTCATAGTACAAGCTCTGCTTAGTTTGAAACGAGTCAACGGTGACCTTTACAGGTGGTTTACTTCATACATATTTAGAATCGATCTAAGGCAGTAGTACTAAATGGGTTCTGTTCCACCTGATGCAACGTATCTTCCGGCATTCCGCAAGGCTCATTACTCGAACTACATCTTTTTAATTTATTTATAAATACTCAAAATTTGTGCTTTACGCCGACGATATGAAGATATGTTATGGTATAACGAAGTGCGTGAGTGACTAGTGCCACCTATCCGTCATCTAATATTAATAGTCCGTTCATTTTTGTTGCGCCGCCACCGTTAAGTATATTAATTTAACCGTTAAGTTAAGAATTATTACCAAATTAAAGTAATTAAAACTAGTAAAACCATTTATTTGCCTGTAATCCTTCAAGATATTTAAAAAGCTTTCTAAAAGAATTACTTAAAATACGATATATACATTTAGCAGCTGCGACGCCATACCATAGACATTGTAATGTTATAGATAACATTATCGTACCGTAGACAAAAAAGCTTATGATACCGCTCTTACCATCGCCAATTATAACAACAATTATGCAGTTTAACTATTAGAAGTTTCCATAAACAGTTGGCATTATACTGTTACCTAAATAATATGGCGTACAATAAAGAAACTCATGTAGGTGTATTAAACGTTCTGTCTCCATGATTAATTTTCCAAATTTGGTAAAGATCTAACAAAGCACGTTCCATTGTAATGAATGGGACAGACTCGTATCTATGGGAATATTTTTTGTGTTCTTATATCTGAATAGTAGTAATTAGCAGTGGTGAATAAGAAGACATAAAAAAATACCGTTAAGGTTAATTTAAGATTAAGCAAAAATGCTAATACCTATTCAAATACCAACTGATGATTAATATTGTAGACAATGCATTCGTTTCTGTCTCACAGCAGAGTATTCACATTTAACATATATAGACCTAAATACAAACTAAAAGCAAAATTTTGGAATAATGTTTATTGTTGAAACTAACACCCGTCCTCAAATGGGGCCAACGGTCTCAAGTATGATATTTTTCAAAACACCCCTTTTCTATACATAATGTTTTTACACATTTTTTACATTACCAACGAGCTTTCATGAGGCATACATGGCATCGCAGTTGACTTGAAAGCTCTTGGGCAGAGGGCAGTGTCCATTACCGTCTTGACTTACACTTATCACTACTGAAGATGGTTTGGGACGTCTCCCATCAGGTCTTTGAGTGCCTACTGCTCTCCAATCTGGGCTGGTCTACTTGGGCTTCCGCGGTCAAGAGATGGAGATGCCAAGCATTAGCTACACTCAAATCCAGCATATAAGTAAATAAAAGCCACCACCACTTTTTGCCTCTTATAGCTGATCTGTATACGGCGATGGACTGGTCGGGTTTATCGACTCCGTCCATGACTTTGGATCTTTCCTCCTTCTGCAGAGCTTCATCTTTTTATCTTGCCCAAAGTCGTAGTTTGTACCAATAGTACAAACAACGTTGTCAAGCCATCGCACGAACAAAATTTGATTTACTGTATTGAATCTGTAGTCAAATTCTGCTAGGATTTTCTTTTTCATTTCCTTGACAGATAGTAGTGGGCATTCGTTCTGTTTTCCCAAACAGTGTCAGTTGCACGATAACCATCTTTACTAAGGTCTTGCAGCAAAGCATGGCTGGTAAAAAAGTTGTCGAAGAACACAATATGCTCATGCGAAACGATATTCAATTTGTCCAATAAACTCTTTACAACTCTTTATTCCAAAGGCTCATTACTGGTTCTTACTGCTGATTTGCCGCATAAATATCAAAAGCTTAACAATAACCATCTGCACCTGCAATCATCCAGTTATTACACCCAAATCTTACTGGTTTTCCTCTTATAAATTGTATTGCTGGGTGACGTCCAAAATATTTTACCATTGACTCATTTATTGCTAGATGTTCATGCACTGCACCCCACTGAAGATTTTTTTCGATCAGCAAATCAGCAAGGGGTCGTATTTTGAACATCTTATCGGTTGATCCAGTAGCAGCCACGCAAAAATGTAAGAATTTTTTGATTTCTACAAACCTGTTTTTTGACATTGAATTTGAAACAATGGTAACACTACAATACCAGTATATCAATCGTAATCTTCATCCAAATACCAGTACAATCGCTCTTGTGTAAGAGAGGTAGCCAGTCAAGAGAAGAATGCCGAAAAATACTTTGAGGTCATCATCAGTTACTGGAGAGTCACGGTTGTTATCTGAGCATCATATAAATTTCCCCCCTTAATAGGAAAAGATGCGGACCCCCCCCCCTCCCTTTTCGACTTTTTTTTTAATTTTTAATTCTGAGGAAATTGCCTCATTTTATGGATTAAAATTAATAATAAGTGTAAAAACAGGATGAGACCTCTTGGAGAAGGGGAACCCCCTTCATCAGAAAAAAATAGGGGGACTGTTTCAGAGGGATTTCCGTATCTATTTTGAGACTACAACGTCTCCGGCGCTGCTGGAAGAGCAGCCTCTGTGCCCTTGCGTAACAAATCGCATGCATTCGCAGGCGGCGGGCGGAGGCTGCTCTTACCCTTTTAGAGCAGATGACAAATATATTAGGTTAGCTCCAACCTATGTCAAAGAACCCAATAGATTACCCCGACTCCAACTGGTACGAGTCTGTCCTACCCCTAGTGTTAAAATAAAACAAATTAAATACGTTTTATTCCACGAGCCGGCAAAGGACGGTAAACACTACACATTTTAATTTTAATATATAGTAATGAAAATAATTCTGTAATTTTATATATATAAACGGTTAAATATACGAGTATGTGTGCCTGAAAACCATTGAAACGAGTACAAAATATAATTATTTACGTAAACTTATAAAATAAAATGTTACCGAACGGAATGACAACTTAACCGTAGGTAACTTAAACGAGGACGCGAGGGTCTATGACCAGACTCGCGCGATCCGCTGGGGTCAGAGCGGGGAAGACCAGGACGAGCTCGAAATGCGGCAGAACGCTCACCGACAGGCACTGGTGCAGTGGCGCGTGCGGCTGGAACAGCCACAGAATGCACGCCAACACGCTGTCGGTGCTGTTTTGCCTAACCTCGAAGCTTGGGTAGGTAGGGAGGGAGGTCGCGTCACCTACCGACCCTGGGATAAAGCCTAGAGATAGGTAGGGATTGACATAAATATTGCAAAAATAATTGATTTTCAATAATTTTTCTCAAAAACTACGTATCTCCGCATGTTGAAACTTAGCGTTTTTTTTTTTTTTTGAAAAAGACAACACTGCGCATTAGGAAATATATCCAGTGTTGCGGAGGACTTAACAAACATACATCAAACGGACACAAAGAACACCCAGACTCAGAACAACAATTTGTGGATCACACAAAGTGTCGTCCCATGTGGGGATCGAACCCACAACACTCAGCGTAGTAGTGAGCGGCGGGGCGACCGCTTAAACCACTACTTCTGTAAAAAATATCAACCCCAACTAGACGGACGTTAATAGAAAGTTAAGCATGGTTCTCGGGCTAATATAACTAAACTGTATAACTTTGCTTATATGGTTACCATTTCGGTTTTTGTCTCTTTAGTTCCTCCTTTCATTTACTTTTATTATAATTGTGCGATTCTTTAAATTATTAGTACATTTTTAAAATATTATAAGCTTTTTAGATGTATAACTGCGAAAACATGTAAATGGTGCATAGTGTTACCACATGTGCTATCCCTTGGTATGTAAACTGAATGTTTTCGGAACAATATAAAATATGTATATATTAGGAAATATTTAAGTATGTTTATCATCAGTCTGGTTACCATAGCACAGGCTCTGCCTAGTTTAGGATCACACAACCGCGTATAAGATTACTGCTATTATTACTTACCAATAGTAGGCCTCCTTACTAGTGACCACGATTAAGGCAATAAGAAAAAAACTAATTAACAAACAATTTTAATTATCAAAACAAGGACGAAGTTAGTGACGCGACTTCTTGACAAATAGTTCTCTTTTCAATGTCGTCAACGCGCATGGACAGTTCTGAAATCTGTTTCTCTATTGCTTTCACATCTGTTCTGAAACCTAACACAGTTGCATCCAGCTCTGTCAAATACTGTATCTTATTACACAGTTCATCATACTTATGGGTGATGAAATCTCTAGCATTCTGCGCGTCGACTAGTTCTTTCTCAATTTTATGAACAATTTCAAATTTCAATTCGTCAAATTTCGCTTCCAAACCTGGACCCAACGAAGCAATTTTCAAAATGGAATCCTCTTCAGAAACATCTTTGCTTTTGCTACTTTTCCTGTGGCAGGCCATCAGTGTTTTGGTATTCTAATACGGAATAATTTTATGTTTGAAAAACCTGCGTGCATTTTCAAAAGTTTCTTCGTCCACGCTACCTACTCAGGTTAGGAAAAAATGTGAAGTCTATATTTTTCCTTTTGTTTTGACATATATGACGGTTATAAAGTTTGAACCTCTTTGCATAAATTTGAGAAAAAAGGGGTATCATTTTTTTGTAAATTTTATAACATCCAACAATTACGAGTATTTTGTTAGATACACTGCAGTGTCATAATATAACAAGCCATACTAAATTTTCTCAATTAATGGAGACCACAGTTTTTAAAATTAAAAGTATAATCTTTAACTTAGCATATAAATGCTAAGATTTTTTTTTAATAATGGCTATAGGCTAGATGATATGCAGTGATTGCGGACTCAACTTGCGTCGACTTCCTCGCGCCATCGCTTATTTTTTTAGCCGCTTGGAGTCATAGGGTTAGGATCATAGGGTCCAAGTGTTTATTCTATGGGCAGAGCACTTATAGCTAAGTTATTGATCAACGTCTCTAAGGACCAGAAGTTATTTTTATTTTCTTACACATAGAATATAGCGGCCCATTTCCCGCAACAATGTAGCTAGCCTTCTGGAAATGCCAGCAGTAAAATAGGCGATGCTGAGGAGTTCCGTGACGTCCTGAAACATACCCGATATTATATTGTTAATCACTTCATCAAAACTTATTTAATGTTTGAAATGTGGTCTTATAAGTCATATTGTTAAGAAAAAAACTGGTCAGGTACGAGTCGAACTCGTGCGCCGAGGGTTCCGTACCTACCCAGATTTTAGGAGATTGCCGCGAAAATTTGTAAGTACCAAAATTTATCTTAGTTTTCAACTTTTTTTATTTTGTGGAATTATTCCTTTATTTGTGCTGTGCAAGTTTTCTCGAAAATCGAAATTTGCCCATATCTTTTTATAGTGATGACTCAGGACCTTGATTTTTATACACCTAATACTTAGGACAGGACCATAGACCTCAGTATCTGGTATACATTTCAACTTGCTAGGTCTACCCGTTCCTGAGAAAAGCGGTGGTGACACACAGACAGAAGGACAAGAAAGTGATCTTATAAGGGTTCCTTTTTTACCTTTTGAGGTACGGAACCCTAATATTGAAACTTACGTACCTATGGAAGGCAAGAATTCTTAGAGCTAGAGCTTAATTTCCAAAATATTAAAATAGGGTTTTTTTTTAGTAAATAGTATATAAAAACCTTAAACATTTACCTACAAGCCTGGTTTTGTAGATTTGTACCTAACGAGTTGAGTCTGGCCTAGTCAAAGATATACGAGTTTAACTGCACGGTTGGCGTAGTAGTTTAAGCGGTCACCTCACCACTTACTACTGCGCGGAGTGTTGTGTGTTCAATCCCCACATGGGACACCACTTTATGTGATGCACAAATTGCTGATCTGAGTATTATGTTCTTTGTATCCGTTTCATCTATGTTTGTAAAGTCCCCCACGACACAGGATGTATTCCTAATGCGACAGCTGTATAAAAAAAACTTAAATCATACAACAACAACCTTGTTTGTATGACCTGAGGTGAGATACACTCGAAAACATCAAAGTACTTCTAGCGGAGGCGCGTAAAATTAAAGAAAGGCATGATGAACAGCATTGCAACGCATGGTCAAGGATCAAGTGCATGCCCTGACGTCAGTGAGACGAAAATACAACGTGCATTTCAACAGTTTAATCGGGTGTTATCACCACGATTTTCTATATCAAGTATCTGAGTTAGATGGTTGCGATATGGTGTGAAACGCACTTTTAATATGAAGTATTGCTACTTATTCCGAGTTATCACTAGTGAATCAAGAGATAAAGTGCGTGGCCGCCTTTTTAGTGGTCTCCCAGAATAAGAAAGGTTTGGTCTTCCAGTATTTCAGAAATTGGGTATAATTCGATCAACCAATTATAATTTCTTAAAGGCATATACTTGGCAACGAGGAACGATTCTTTGCTCTATTCTAAGATCTCCAAGAATCCACACACATCACACACGGCCGTCTTATCTAAAACTAGGCAAAGCCTATGCTATGGTAACCAGACTGCTGATAAACATACTTATATATTTTTTAAATACATACATATCATAGATAAATTACAACCAGACACAGAGCAAATGACCGTGCTTATCACACAATATTTGTCGTGGGTGGGAATTGAACCCACAACCTTAACCACTAGACCAATAGGCCCTTCATATATTATATATATCTGTGTGGGTATATAGGGCGGATAAATATGAGAATGAAATTTCATCTTCGGTCGGAGTGCAGGAGAGACCGACCACCCATAAGTGCCGAAGTATGACTCTCCAATGGTTAAGAACTATCTTGATCACTATCAAATTTTGCCTACACTTTGTTAGGTTACCTTTGGTATAGGGTACCTTGGGTAAAAAGTATAATCCCCAAGGTAGACGGAAAAGTATAAAGTTAACTTTAAGTATGTCATAAACAGGTAATTTTTAGCAGAACATTTGATAACTTTTCTATTTCGTGATTTTGAAAAGTTGATTGAGCTGTGTGACGCTATTCGATTGGTGTTCCAAAAATCAAATAGCTACCTAAAATATACATTGCTATTGAGTTACGTACGATTAGATTATACTCATCCTTTTATCTAAATAGTACATCAGGTTTTATAGCAGGACAATCACTAATGTGATAAGATCTGAGATGATATAACCTAATAGATAAGAATCCCACTCGTATTGTTGACATTACAAGTGAATGGAGACATTTGAAAAGTTTTTGTTTCTGATTGAACGTCCTCATCTCTGTAACTGGTAATCCGCTTTTAATAGTCTATTTGCATTTGATAGTCCCATTCTTAAGGAAGAGTAGGGCTCAGACCTCTCAACATCAGTCAGTTCAAGTTACAGCTTTGCGACTCCCTAAGCCTTCCATATTAGCAATATCTCCTTTTTCCGTTTATTTCTTTATGCACAAATGAGATCCTACATGAATATCAATAATGCCACAGGCATTTTCTCAAAATGGAAAGAATGTATATATGCTAATCGGCGAGAGAATTCTTCATGTCGCAATACAGGATTAGAAATTCTTATTCAGGAGTTACCCCGTAGTTGGGTGTGTCTTCGTTAGATGGCGCTGTAATATGTTTCTGTTTCTTTGTATATGGGAGTCGCCACACCCGCATCCAACGGCATCCCGCTATATACATATGTACGTAGAAAAAGGCAAAGACAAAACAGTTATTTTTTTATGCAGTAACCATAGACAATATTCGTGTAGTGGTGGATCAAGAACACGGAGTGTCACCACTCCTATTCATTCCGCGCGTGGCGTAAGAGCCGACTAAGGACAACAGTACTGCTAAGGGAAGGAAATCTTGAAACTTATTCTATACCAACCCGTCAGGCCAGGGCGGCATAACAGGCCAAAATCTCCTTTTTAAGGCTCCCCTTAGAAAGGAGATTTTATTAGATAAGGTATGTTTAGGTCAATTGACTATTTATGCTTTAGGCTATAAATAAACTATAGACTAACTTTAGAGCTATCAATAAAATTTCTCTAACTTTAACGAAGCTTCAATTTAATAAATTGCGGTCAGATTTCTCAGTGACCATAAGTGCAAATATTGTACGGAACAGGCCATCAAAAGCTGATTCATGGAATAAGTGATAGGAACTAGATAGAACAACTTACATATTTCCCTAGTGGAGAGGTTGATGAATTAACAGTTCGTGTCCCAACACTGACCAGTTACTGTTTAAAATTAATTGCTATTATGATGGATCGACATATTTGTTGGTTGTCAAATATTTATATCATATAGATAAATAGATGTAGACGATACAAAGGTCAGTAGTTCAGTAGTTAAATAAACATAATAATTTGATTGCACGGATGGCGTAGTAGTTGAAGCGGTCGCCACGTCGCTTACTACTACGCTCTGTGCGATCCCCACATGGGACGACACTTTGTGTGATCCACAAATTGTTGTTCTGAGTCTGGATGTTCTTTGTGTACGTTTCATGTATGTTTGTGAAGTCCCCAGCGAAACAGGATAATTATATTCCTAACGCGGGTTATCTTTTTTAAAAATAAATAAATAATATTTAGTGTAAAAAAAATTGCCAGTCTAGTTTTGGAGTAACACATGCTGTGTTGACCCAATTATTGTTACAACCGGATCCGAATCGAAACGATACGTAAACGAACGAATTTATAGATACCAATTTGCACATATTTGTTATACCGATAGTTCAATGACCACCGTTCAATGACCTACAACCTCTAATATAAAAAAAAACCCGTAAATTTTAAAGAGTAGGTGACACTCAAAGAAGTATGCATATAATTAACTTAATATTTGCATTTAATTGTTGATGAGTAATAAATTGTCATAAACTGTGTTCTTCATTCCTTAATTTTGACCCCTAGTAGAGGTTTGTTTTAAATTTAAACAAACTAAACGGAAGGTATCATCATCATCATCAAGGCCTCTCCTTAGAAAGGAGGTTTGGCCTACTATACCACGCTGGTCAGACGGGTTGGTATAGGGTTTGTGCCAAGTTTCCTTCTTTTTGCAGTGTGCGCAGTGTGTGCAGTTACTCGGATCTTACGACACCCACAGGATGAATTGGGGTAGTGACATTCCGTATTCTTAATCCGTCACCACACGGGACGAGAGGTACACTCTTTGCAAATAAATAAAATAACTTTCTAGATCGATTTACAAGCGACGGAGTTCTGGGATAACAAACAAAAATTATACAGCGGAATTAGCCGGTTAGAAACTAAAAGGAAACTAAGCGCAAATAAAGTACAAGGGAACTGGAAGTAAAATGATATCGATTTGAATTTAGTCCCATTGTCATCAACACGATGATTTACAAATTGTTGTTCTAAGTCTGGGTGTTCTTTGTATCCGTTTCATGTATGTTTGTAAAGTCCCCCGCGACACAGGATATATTTCTATTATTTTACAA